TACTAGGCTGGGAGGGGGACAGGGGACTAACCAGTGAACTCCAAGAATCTGCCTGTCACTCCCAACACCTGACTATAATATGGAGACCAAACAACTCAACTCAGCTCATGCTTACATGATAAGCACTTTATTGATAGAGCTTTGTTCCCTCCACAGTCCCTAGGTAGCTGATCAAGCTGAGCTTCTATGCAGAAGGATAAATAGAATGAAATTTTAAAGATTACTCCATATTTTGAAGAACAAAAAGGGTTACCTAGTGGAACAATTACTCAACCCTGGGCCTAGATTTTCCACTTCATGTTCATTTATGGTTTGGTTCTCTGGCCACAGCTTACCTTTGGAGTTGACATTACGAGGACAGAAGCCCTAGCTTACTGTCTCAGAAAACAAAGTTTACTTCTTTGGTAATGCCAAGTAGACCAAGTAGTCCTAAAAGACAATTATCTTTGACTACTATGGATTTTTACCAAATTCTCTGGCCTTTGACTATTCTCCAAAATGACAAAGAATACTTACAGAAGCAGGGACAAAAAAACCCTGCCCATTTGTAAACTATTCCAGAAGGCCCGTGGCTGTGTCTGAGAACTTTTATACCTGTAGATTCTGACCCACTGAGAAGTACAAGGGGAAATTACAATGAGTTGCTGCTCAACGAGGTAAAAACTACAGCCAATAAACAGATGAGTGGGTAAGGACACCTTGCAAGCCTGGCAAACTCAAGTTAGTACAGAGAGAATGGAGTGAACATCCCCCAAGATACCCTCTGGCACAAATGTCCCACACTCATATAAAAATGTATTTACAAAAAAGTAAATCCAGAGCCGGACAGTGGTGGCGCATGCCTTTGATCCCAGCACTTGGGAGGCAGAGGCAAGCGGATCTCTGAGTTTGAGAGTTCGAGGCTAGCCTGGTCTACAGAGTGAGTTCCAGGACAGCCAGGGCTACACATAGAAACCCTGTCTCGAAAAAAACTAAATAAATAAATAAATAAATAAATCCAGGAAAAACCTAAACCTGCTAACTGCCATCCTTTGGATATGCCCTACCTCATATCTTACATGGCAAACGATGAAAATAAACTGAGACATGTTTCACTTCAAATAACTGATAGTAATTTTGGGCCAGACCATATAGTCTCAGATATGAAACTTTATAGCATATTGTCTTCTGGTGATGATTTATAAAGGGTTTCCAGTTCAGAGACCTGACATTAAATGCTATCATACAACTCACAGAAGTTATGGGAAATTTACAACTTCACTCAAGTTCAAATAGCATATAAAGCAATAACATATAAAGCAAATCACAAGCTAGGTTTTAAAGATATTTAATAGCCCCAGTAGCTAACAACACTAGAACAAGTAACCCTGAGTGTAGGAGACATCAATGCCATTATTTTACGCAGCTGAGGCAATGCCTTTTATCTGCTTAGAGTAAACTGTTGCCATAGAGATGGGATGCTAGTGCTTCTCTTAATTCCTCTAACGCAATGGCAGGCTGAGTTATGTAATGGTGTAATCTGGAACCTATTAATAAGTGCTGCCACCATAGTAGTTAGTAGTCCTTGATGGTGGAATTAAAATAGCTTTTCTTTAAAAGTAACAAATCAAGGCAAGATGGCTCAATGGGTGAAGTACTTACTGCCAAGCCTGACAACCTGAAGTTACCTCAGAACCTACATACAAGTCCAAAGAAATGCAAGTTTGGGGTAATAGTAATTAGCTCATAACTAGTTTTTGTTTAAAACTATAAGATTAGTCAACAGAGCAATTCTAAAAATCACTAAGGTACAACTACCAAAACAAATAATTCACTAAGTGACATAACAGCAGTGGGGCTAAAGCCAACTGACACACTTGCTACAAAATACAAAAGGTCGCCAGGCTGAGAAAGGAGAGAGCTGGTTTTTGTGTTGAGCCTAACTGGTAATGTCAGGGATGGACATTCCCAACACACCACTGTGAATACTTTCATACTCATAAGGTTAAAATGTTACTTTAGAGTCCTTACATTAACATCTGAACAGCAAGAGGTTAGCTTAGTACAATTCTCCCGATTATAGAGAATAATTGACAAAATTATGTTTTTACCTATATCATCTCCAATCTTCTAAAGGATTAGACAGTGGACTTTGGGGAATCGTGGTCAGGTCTGTCTGTACTCTCAGGTACACAGAAGGGTGGGACCGAAGCTTTGACCGAAGTCAAAGCCAAACCTGGTCAACATCTAAATCAATCGGTGCAGCCAGGTAGGCATTCTGGTTCATGCCTGTGACCCCAACATCAGAGGACCTGAGGCAGGAAGATTACTGAGTTTAAAGCTATGATGGACTGTATAGACTTGTCTCCAAAATTACAAGCTTAATTAGAAAGAAAGCAAGCCAGGGATACAACTCTATGTTTCATGCACAGGGCCCTGGGTTCAATTCCTTACATCACCCAAAATAAGTAATTTTTAAAAAACGGTATTTTATTACAGTTTGCATGTACCTTGATGGCTAACATGAACTCCTTCCTGAATTCCTAGTGCTTTTACTTAAAACATGTAATTAATTTGACAAAAACTGTCAGTAGGTGGCCATTGTTGACCCCTAAGAGTAATAATTTACAATGAAATAACAATAAGTTTATAATCTATAGATGTGTTTCAACCAATAGTAAATACATACTTCGAAGTTAACACCACTTGCTCAAAGACTGACTGTATTAGACTGGAATTGATTTCAACAGTTTAACCCAAACTCTTGCCATATATTAAACAGGTTAGGAACAACACCCTGATTAAACCTGTTAGGAGGTAATGAAATTGGTATGGGGGACTCCAAGCAAGCCATAAAAAAAGCATATTAAGATGGGATGAGATTTAAACATCCTATCCTTTTCAAATTCCACAAAGCTCCAAGTACAAAATGTAATTCTCTTTTACTGACAACACCCATGCCTTCTTCATACATAGCTAGTTTCCTATTTACTTTTCCTTAGTGCACACAAGTTTTTTAGGAATCCTAATTATTTGAGCCACAAGAAAATTGGAATGTCTGCAGAGGACACATCAACTTCTACACACTTTCCTCAGGCTACATAATGCCCAAGTCAAATTGCAGTCAGCTGTAGCAGCTGTTTTGGCTTAAGGGTGATGGAGAGATGCAGTAGAGTAACCTACCTAGTACTTCTCATTCCTCACTAAGTGCCTGATGTGCTTGAGTTCTTCTGCTTTAAAAGTCCAGTATCATCTGCACTTTTTAAAAGTAACTCATTTAAGCAAGATCCCTTGCCTTTGACTCAGCATTACCTAACTTAAATTAGTAAAAACCCACTGGACTGACATGCTGCTGAATTCCACATTAGAAATTAATTTTTTTTTTGCGTTTCTACTTGGACTTTCTTCCCCCTAAGAAATTTCAGGAAAACCAGATCATTTTTGACTCTACCATAATCTGCATTCCTACTTCACAATCAGTTCAGGTTTATATGGAATCCCACACTGTCTACATACTTCAGTGCTTTGGGCTGCACAAACCCTTTCAGAATACACTTTTCTCATTTCACATTTTGTGTAGTATGTGCTACAGCAAAGATTTCCACTCGTAATTTAACCAGGCTGGCAGCTAAAACACCAGAAGCCAACCTGAATCGACATGTTACCTCTGGGGAGGTGGCTTTTTACTGACACTAAATAAAACTCTGACCAATCCATCTGTAAGGAAAAAAAAAAACAACCCAAAAAACTTGTAATTCTTTGGTGCCTATTGGGTTAAGTCACTGGGTGGTTATATTCAGGTAATGAAATCTCAGCTCTTAATCATTACTAAATCCTGTTCCTCAAGTGTTTCAGCTGTACTTGATTTTTAAGATAGTTTAATCTTTATGACAAAAAGATCTCAGAGAACTTGACATGAAAATTAAAAAATTATACTTTCTTGTGTTATCTTTTTCAACCTGGGAATTAAAATCCTTTGTAGGCTAGGGATGTAGCTTAATGGTAAAACACTTCAAGTCATAACAGACACAAAATTCTCTTTATCCAACATGGTTCAATTTGTGACCCATGTACATAGAGCCAAGTAATAAAAAGCCAATTATTTAACTTGTTTTCAATACTTTGAAAATGAGGTTATGGTTATTTAATCTGGTATATCATGTTCTATAAACATAGTGCAAGATTTCACTATACATAACTCACTTCACAGTTCTATTACCTGTTCAAAACTTTTAACATAGAGTTTTGTTTTGTTTTAAATCTAGTGTCAGTACATGTCAATATCAATGAGAATGTAAGGGACAGGCTACGGCTACACACATCTAATAAACAACGGCCCATTTGTAACTATATGTGAATTGTCCTTCATTTATAAAACAAGTTCAACATTTTTATGGACATAATTAACAAATTATGTCCATAAAAAAAACTTCAAATGACACAAAGCACATGTCCAATGGGAGCAAAACCCTAAGTCCATAAATATTTGATTTACAACCACGAAGTATATATTTTATCATTAAACTTCCACCTGAAAATTGCTTCATAAAATTAAGTCTTCTGAATGAAAACTCTTTAAACTTTTAATTACTGATTTTCAATCATTGGTACTAAAACCTTCAAAATCAGTTATCACTCAAAAAGCACATTATTGGCCTATTAAAAACTGCTTACCATACTTTAAAAAGTTTTTAATAAAGAACTAAATAAAGGCAAAAGTGAAAAGCTTATCTTCTGCCTCCCATATCTTCCACAAATTGCCTTTGATTAGAATTTAATACAAAGATGTTTCTCTAATGGCAAAGACATTATACATTTCCTAAATCATTTACTAGCCAAAACTTTAAGTGTTAAGACTTTGGAGGGTTCATTACAAATGATTAAATGGTTAGAGTTTAACACTAGATCTGAGAAACAAAATAAATGCTTCTGAAAAGCAATCAAAGAATGCTATCTATTCTAGGCCTGTAAGTACTCCTATTACTTTGAAACAATTGGCATAAAAAGTAGAAAGTTAAAAATCAGCAAATGGAAGATCAAAGTTTATTTTACTACCTGCATACAAAAACATATTGCACATCAAACAACCAAAATCAAAAAGGGGGGAGGGAAGAAAAAAAATAGGTAGAAAGAAAATGTGAAAGATATTCTACTGAAGACTAAACATGTAGTTTATACAGAATAAACCTTCTGGAAATGGATCTTTTCAGTAGTTCAGGCTATGTCTGAATGGACATGACTAATCAGCTTAGTGTTTCAACTAAAGCTATGTTTGATTTTTAAATACTGTACACTTTAATAAATAAACCAAACAAAGCCTCAATGTAGAACAGTCACTGCCAATATCACCCAGTATCCCTGCAGATGAGTTCACATGTATTTCCAGTGGTCTGCAGAATTGCCTCTACAAACAGCATTTAAAAAACACATTAAACAGACCAGTTTCCAGACTAAACTAATGAAGAAATTACAATTCAGTGCAAAATATTTTAGACTGCTTCATTCTAGTTTTCCTCAGGTGAAGAAGTGGTTGCATATTAAAAATGTAACAAAAGCAGCTAATGCTTTCATAAAGAATATTACGTTAGGGACCCCACCCCACCCACCTCCCCCCATCTCTGCCATATTTTGAAAACAAAATAACATTTCCTATAGCCAGCAACTTTTTTTTTAATGTTACATATACTATTCTCAAGGCACATCTGATGATATATTTTTAACACAGTAGGTGTCAAAGTATGTTTAACATATGATTTCTTCAGGATCCCTCCCCTTTCTGAATTCCAAATGGAGGAACTGAAAGTGCGATGTAAGACTGGCGATCCGTATTCTATCTTTGGCAAGCTTGTACAAGCACTATTGTAACTGTAATGTAAAAGAACTGTAAACTAGGAACTTCCTTCAGTTATGAAACACCATTCAGGACTGCTGCTTCTTGAGTGCTCTCTTCTTTTAAGGTCTTAGTCTTTTCTTCTCCTGGAGTACGCGGTAGCTTAGGAATTTCATCGCCAGAAGCGCTAGTTGGACCATTTATTGCCTTTTCTGAAGGACCATGCTCTTCAATCACATCTTTTGCCTGTCAAAGGGAGACAACTTTTTCAACATCTTTAAAAAGAAATCTGTAGCTGAGGAGGAAAATAACTATAAACATTAGCTTTAAAAATAGGATAACTTTCATATGCCACAAAGAAAGTTGATTTTACGTTTAAAACAAATACCAATGCACTCCAGTATCAGGGTTTTAAAACTCTATGATTTCTAGTACCTATGAGTGCCCACATCACAGAAAGCACCTGCACTGTTCAATGAAACCTGTACTTAGTATTATGACCATTGGGAAGCTCACCATATAAATGGTGTAAAAGAGTCAATGCAGTAAGCAGAACAACAATCAGCCATTTTACTCACCTTTTTGAAATTCGTGTATTTATCACTGAAAACATTTAATACAAATGAAACTTAAAAGGTCTATTCCCACTACTGACAAAAAGTATACAGCCTTCTAATTATCAAATCAAGTAAATGCTAAATTTAGTGCTATCTCTCTGGACAATGTCTCAGGCTCAAGCATGCATATCTTCATTTATCAGGGGCCTGGGATAGAAGCAAGGATCTTCTTTAAATAATCTCTTAGGGGAAACAACTGACCATACAGCAATTAAGTAAAAAATAAATAAATCTAAACAATATGGAAATAATAAAAAACAAAACAAAAACCCTACAGGTTAAATTCTCCTTACCATTTCTTTCTTGTTTTTAGCCAAAGTTTCCCTTGGGAGGTTTCTTTGTCTGCTCTGAGACTCAGCTCTAGAAATATAATCTGCAACTGTGACTGTTAAAGATGAGAAAAAAATTACAGGTGTTGAAAAATATTTCTAAATTCTATTATGGATAAAGAATAATTTCACTATTAAAATAAACTAGTGGTGGGTCACCCAATTTCAAAATTTTACGCTGGGTACCCACCTCTGAACAAAAGCAAGGCTTGAAAAAAATGTGTCTATGATTTTAGTACTGACAATAGAAAAATCCTTTTCAGCTGGAGCCTGAGGAAATCTAGAATGAAGTCCTTTTTCCCAGGAATCCAGCTATGTCCTGGTTTATCTAAGGTTGTGGGACAAATGTGGTGTAGCAACCTACCACCAAGAACAAGCCCTGCGAGTGCACTGTTCTAAGTGCAGAGGGCGTTGCAGTAATGGAGACAGGGGCAACAGTGATTCCAATCATAGTGAGGGGAGTAAAAATGTGAAAGAAAGCTTTATGGTTTTGGTTATCTCTCTGCCCCAGGAAAAACAGCACAATCAAGGTGTTCAAGTGTGTTATTTTCTGTTTCTTTCCTAACATATCATGCTAGACAGTATTTAAACTATCTGATGTTCTGACTTTAAGGAGGTACAGGCAAATTAAGACAATAAACCACAATCCTCAACATGTGCTGGACGCTTATCAGGGTGGGAAAGAACACTATAATAGAGATCCTGTCCTATCAACTTTGCTATCTTGCTAGGTCTGAAATGGAGAAAAATTAATGAATCAGGAAGCAAACTAAACCTTATCTATCATTCTAATAAATGACCTCTTTTTGTATTAGTACAACATTGGCCTCAGGTCAGGTCTTGAAACTCAAAATTCGTAACTTTATATTATTTCCTATCTCAGACTAGGTTTAAGAAAGCCCTGAATTAAAAATTAAAAACAAGTCAATTTTACATATTTAAAGGCACTATGTTTGGGTAGAACTGGTCCATTAGACTCATACCACATGCAACTAACAAAATAATTTAATACAATTTAAAGGCTGAATTGTAAAATACAATTCATTCATCTTAATAATGTACGTCCTAACTGAAGAACTTTCTAGTAACTCACTGCTTAATGAACTTATTAAGCATCTTGAATCAAAACTTTTTATTAGAAAAATTACAGATATTTGAAATCTAAAGCTGCTTTCCTTCAAAATTATAAGGAATGTTTATCATGAAGTCTTTAAATAGCTTCTCAATTTAAAATCACTGCCAAGAAGTTTACAAACATGTTTAGTACTATGCTGGGGGATTAGTATACTCTACTAATTCTGCCTTATAGTTCTTATCCAATACAGCCCCTTAAATTTCAATAGAAATTTAAATTTCATGAAAAAAATCTAAATTTTATGGCATAATCTGGACCCTGGGTTTAAGAATCAATTGAGACCACCAGAGTGTCATATTGTCTAAGTAGAAGAAAGATCACTCAATGGTTAATTACATAAGACATAAGAACAACTAGAAAGTTTAGCCAAAGGAAAGACAACAATCAGCTGTCTCCCTGGACTACTGCTGGGAAACAAGAAACTCTGAAGAGGGGACTAGAAATAAAGGAATTTGAATAGAGAAAATACAATGGTTCTTAAGAACAGTGAAAACAAATCAGATATAGTATGCCAACAGCACATCACTGTTAAAATTACCAAAACTCCAAATTAGTCATTTTAGTTAATTCCATTCAAAATCATCTAACTCTTTTAGAAGAAACCCTGTTTTGCTACTTTCGTGTCTGTACATTTAACCGTATCTCTCGCTTCAGTTATGTTGAAAGTCATTCCAAGTTAGTGAGCCCATACTGATAGCCTGAATTTTCTAACTTGCAAAGTAGGGACAAAAAAATGTTCATAGCTGTGCTGCTTTCAAGTTTATGACCTCTTCAACTAAAATATATCTCTAACATTAAGAAGAAAAAGGAATATAAAGGGAAAACATATTTTCTGGACACTATCTTTTATAGTATATAGTTCTTTTTACATTTCCTTCTATCTTTTGAACACAAACTCTTCATAACTGGAAATAATGCCTTTTACTAGATTCCCTAATGTCTCTACAACCTCTGCATTTCAAGGTTTACAATGTACATTATTGGAGGCGGGGGGGGGGGGGGCACATGAAAGAGTATGTTTTGGAAATAATGCAAAAATTGGTTGGTTTGAAAGGGGTTTATTTCTACTATACACAATTTCTTCATGGTAAATATACAGTGATTCTCTATACATAGGAAATGAATTGTGTTCAAAATAATAGACATAGCAAACGAGTTTCTTTCCAGTTACCAAAACTTGTGACAACATAAAATACTGAATGAAACTAAGTAAATACTATTTGAATGGTTAGTATGTGTCAAAGAAAAAGCACCACACTACAGTAACACAAAAAACATTAACATGCATCCTCTTTAAAGAAAGACACTTCTACATTTTATTTTAAAATTTTGAGTATTGTAATTCCCACCAAATGAGGCGCCCAATCTATAATAAGCAGGCACCATGTAAACAATTGTCTAGTTTTGCCAATCAACCTCAAACACAATTCACAGCACAGTCCCTGCAATGGCAGTCCCCATCTTAAATCTGAAGAATCTGCCAACTGAATAAAGTAAAGGTACTGAAATTATTTCCATGTAAGAAATCAAGACACAACATTAGTTCACTTAAGACTAGATACTAAACATTTATACTGTGAAGGAAGAATGCATTTTCTTGAGCAGTATTATTAGTTAAATAAATTATGCAATGCAAATTCTGAATGTATACACACATGTGAACATGTAACTATATTTAGAATGCAGACACATGACATTTTTTTCATGCTTGTGACCTGACACCAACAGGCCCACTCAAGTTACCTGGCTGTCTATCTTCTGCCTGACCCCTGAAGCGACGCCTGCGGCTACGATTGCGTCGCTGGGGTTTTTTTTCACTATCATCTGTAATTGCAAAGTTTACCATCAACTATTCTGACAAAAAATAAACAAAAAAGAACAAACAAAAATTTTCTTTCCTCATTTAAGGAAGGGAAAGAGAAACTTTTAATTAAACATCAAAGATAAAGCATACAGTATTGACAAAGAATTATATACATTTTTGCAGCATAAAGCATTGCCCTCTGGAAATTAAGAGAGCTTTAATTCATAATAAAGCAAATTGCCATGTAATTGAAACCACCACCATCATTCAGCAATATAAGATTTCTCTCCAACATTATCTTGGATCTCAAAGTTAATGACATTTTAGCCCCTTAATAATACATGCTAGTTCCTTGCAGCCCCCACAAAAATGTACTGTAATTATTAAAGGGGAGGGACTAAAACAGTTACGTTTTGTTTGTAGACAGTAGATCAACTGAGACCTCAGACTGATTTAATGGCATGAAAGGGCACTTTAAGGAATCCTCCCAGTTCAGATAGTCTGACAAATATGAAAACAAGTGCCCAAGACAACTATATCCCTCATTTAAAGTAAACACTAAAAAAATCATTTGTGAATTCTATACAAAAAAAAAAAAGGCTTCATCCATTACCAATATAATGCAATCACACACACACACAACTCTTCCCTAAATGCTTACATACCTAGCCCATTTTCATTAACTGAGGCTGTATCAGATTCAGTCATTCCATCCATCAGAACAGCATCTTCATCAGTCCTTCGTCTACGAGACCGCCTACGACGGTTAGTACTGTGGTGAGATTCGCTGGCGTCAGTGTCTGCAGTCTGATCTGATTCTGTATTATCAAGTAAGCTGTATGGATTGCTGTCTGGATCTTTGAGCACTATATTCATGTCAGAGGCAAGAAATATTCATTTAAGAGGACATCAGTTAAGAAAGCTTGATCTACTGAACTACATGTACTAATTGTAAGTAACTCCAATACCCCCCATAAAAATATGATTAAATAAAATTTTAATGAAAATGAAAATTTATAAAACAAAAAATATGCTTTACGTAAGTTTCCTATTGTTTCCTTTGAATTGTTTACAAAAATAGTAAGTCTATTTACATCTTCAGATGATATCAAAACCATACGGGAAGGGATATATATTAAACATGTATGGGCCTATTTTTTTCCCTATTACTGTCCCTCAAATAAATGTAAACTGTTTACATAACATTTTCACAGTATTAGATATAGGTAATATAGAGGTAATATAGAATGTAGAAAGACCACTAATATATTTTCATAAAAAATTAAAAAAAAAATCTATGGGGGTTCTTGAGACCAATGCCCCCATGGATAGTGAAGGATGAGTAAGTATATCAGAAAATATTACACTACCTACTAATTATGGCACTCACACTCTTTAAGTTAATCCTACTCAGAATAGAAAAATAAAAGTGAAGAGAAAGAATCAAGCCTTGATTGTAAGAGGACCATTGTTCCTCTTACAAATTTAAGGTGACTACTGGTATTTTGTGATAATAGATTATTCCAAATAAAAGAAAATAAATCATCTGCAGCCAAGACCTAAGAAGCATTAGTTAAGTATGAACTGAAGCAACCATGTCTATACAGGCATCTAAATCAGGCTGAAATTGTAACTGGCTATATAGAAAGGACAACACTGAAACACCTAACTTGTAATCCAACTTGAAAAACAAACCATGGAGTGAAGTTAGAAAAGAACGGTGTCAAGATACAAGTGAAAAGAAAAGCACCCATCTTACCTATGTGCATCTACTGCTTCCAACTTTCAAATTACAGAAGAAATTCACCTAATCACGATTACTCTTAAATTTTCCTTGGTAAGTAAGCAAGCTAGTGTCTTAGCAAAAGATACTAAGTTTATCTATTAATCATAAACACTAGGCAAAAAGCATTTACTTTGCAATTCCACAAAATAATTGTTTAATAGTACAGTATACAGTGCATTTTAATAGAAAAACTAATTTTCTGAAAAAAAATGTTAAAATTTCCTAAAATAAAACTAAATTTAGGGCCCAATGAAAATTATGATCCAGAGCCAAAAACTTCCCTTCATTTTGTTGATTTGTTCCAGTTTTTGTACATTTGCATGTATTTTTAATATGCAAGACTATGCTAAGATTTAAAATAGGATTTTAAATGAGACATTTAATCATTATAAATATTAAATATGACCTTCTTAAAGGAAAACAAATAATAATGCTAATACAATGTTTTAAAATAATCTAGTCCATGTATTCCTGGAAACCCTCTCCTTTTGCCTATTCTACTCAGAAAGAGAACTCTCTCAACAATTACTATTCTATGATAAAAACAAAAATAATAAAATGATCACAGCCAACATATGCTTGAGCATATGAAGTCTTTAGTCAACTCTACACTGTATCTATGAACATATGGTGTGCCCACACACACCCATATGTGCAGATGATCACAGAAGCCACAAGAGGGTACCAGATCCTCCAGAGCTGGAGTTACAGTATTGTGAACAGCCCATGGTGGGTGCTAGGAGCTTAACTCTCTACAACAGCAGTAACTGTTCTTAATTGCTGAGCCACCTATCCAGTTCCTCTATATTCCTCTTTATGGTTCAATTACTCAATAAAACTTTCTTAAGAATTGAGTTCATATCTGTCTCTTTTCCTCAAAGTGTAGCAAAAATTTTTGGGAAAACAAGGAAAGTATTACCTAATTATAAAAGATCTCAAAATGCGAAGGGATAAACATTACTCTCAAAGCCAATTTAAGTTCCGACCTCTTAAAAAAACCTTCACTGGGAATTACTCTACACGTTTACTGTATTAACTGCTATACAGTCTACTATTTTCTCTAAGATAGTAAGCAGAAGAACCACAAACTTCCAAAAATGTATGGCCCTGAAAGAGGAAATAACTTTTGTAGAATTATACTGTTTACAAAGCATGAATGCTGACATAGTACATAAAAGACTACCAGAACTGATGGAGGATTTGCCACCACGTGGTCCACCACGACCTCGTCCCCCAGAAACACTTCTGCCTCTTCCTCCTGGGCGTCTCCTGCTGTCTCTCTGATGTCGAGTCTCTCGGTCATCTTCTCCTGCCAATGACCAATCACTCAGCTCATCTTTACGCTCAGATTCTGTTTCGGAGGGGTTAGACAGCTCAGAATTTGTACCTTTGGAAAAAGACAATATAAGCCAATTAGATACACATCAACAGAAATGCTAAAAAATTTTCTGCTAAGCATCATTCAAATAAATAAGCATAGTAACTGATCCAAAGAGCAAAATTAAAAGTAAATCTTAAATTTATTTTAAATGTAATTATCAGATTCAACTAAGCAGTAAGAAAAAAATGTATACATGAAAATACAGTTAATGTAAAGGTTTCTATCCATTTTTAAATTGATAGCTTAAATTATCAGTATAATGTTAGCCAATACCTAAAAATAAATTTAATGACATTTAGAAAAACTAAGTTTTAATCAATAGTGTTTCCATTCTTACTGATGTATTTTTTCTCACAAATTTTAGTTTCTCTCAAATCAGAACACTTCTTGTAACAGATAATCTTTCTTAAAAGTTAGAAGTTTACTTGTCAGTTAAAATGTTTTCCTATTGCCTCAGACTAGCATGACGATGTTTCTGAGAAAATACCTACAACCTAATAAAATGGAAGACATTGACTACTGAAATGAAATTTACATAATTATTTCCTGTAGAAGATGACTTCTAAATTCATACCAACTTAACTGAAAACAGAATCCCTCCCTTTCTCTTACTGCCATGTGTCACTTTTCTCAACATTTTCCTCTATGGATCTACAATGAAATGGTCTGTTAAAAGGTAAAGCTCATTAAATCTTATTAGTGTCTGAAATGTGTCATAATATGCAGAAATTTCTTTTTAATAAATGACTGTTACATTATTTTAGAGTTTTAAGTAGCTAAACTGCCACATATGATTTCATGAAATACCTAAAAATCAATTGTATTTAAACCACACGAGCGTTTAACAGTAGCAGTAAAACACTGAAGCAGAAGTAATAAGGTGCAAGGAAAAAGTAAGGACTCTACCAATACAAATTACAGAGGAAAAGATGAAAAACAGTTTAGGAAACAAAAAAATGCAGGTTTTCACTCAATTGTTGGAATGAGACCTCATAGAAGAGAATAAAGTACACATTTAACGATGATTTGTTCAAATATCAAAAACACTTTAACACTGTCACTGTTGAAAAGTAGACAATTATCTAAGGAATAGTGAAACAAATCTGGGCTAAAGTGTAAAGGTAAATAAGCCTAGTAAACTATTTTCTCTTACCCAGGGATAAAAGAAATTACTCTTTAAACTTAACCTAAATTCAGTATTTTGTGAGACTAATAACACACACACACAAACATTGTTGATGAACTGGCTAATATTCATATTTTATGGTCATAAAAAGTCAAGTATAAGGCTTATACCATGAGATGAGAAGATTGCCCTAAAGTATTTAGATGGGCCCAAACTGGCCCATGGGTCTTTAAGACTTCATGTCATAAAGATAGCAGGATGAGGACTGTGACATCATTGGCATTTTAAAAATAGAGGCAGGCACTCATAAGCCTGGAAATGTCAAGCAAGCAGGTTCTATCAAACTTTAAAAAAAACCAAAACAACAAAACTGCAGTCTAAGTGATGTGTACAAGGTTAGCCCAGTGCGACAGTGGTCAGCTTTACAATAATAAAGCTGTGCTGGTCATAAAGAAGGCTCTAGGTTGTTATAAGTTAGTGATTACTGCTCTGCCGAAAACAATATAACCATTTCAACGTCTCGTCATACAAGCAGGATACAAGAAAAGAAAACCTAGAAAAGCTTTTAAAAATGAGCCATGACACTCGCAATCACAACTTGCTTTTAGCTAAATTCCATAATCAAGCTTTTCTCTACAATTTCCATCTATCACTCTTATCAAGATGCTTCCCACCATTTAAAATGGCCATGTGATAAAAATGAACATTAAAAATGCTTTATTATAACCAATATGTGATAAACTTCTAAGATTCAAACTACTTTAGCACAACTTTAGAAATGTTCTACTAGTATCCATTTCTTATAAAATGTTATTCCTGCCTATTTTGAAAAGTGCTCAAGAACAGCTGTCATTAAATTCAAACAGTCCTTTCTCTCAAGTTACTTCAAAACTATAATGTTTCTAGTTCCACAAACCTCTATCTGCCATCTACGGAAGGATCTGTAGTGTTTTCTAATCCAGATGATTACCTTTGCCATTTTTCCACACATTATCTATTCCTCAGCTGCCTTACCAGAGAATGCCTCCCTCATCAATAGGCAGAGGCCTCAGACACTAATCAATCTGTTCAATGGCTTTTCACTCCTGCTTTACAAAGGCCATATCTGATTATTAATTTAGAATTAAAAAATACAAATATACCCAGGTTTTATTTAATTACTGGTATTAAATACACTTTTGGTAGTATAAATTAGCTTACAATTCTTCATCTTTTACACATTGAACACTGTATATTGGAATTTTATTTGCAAATGTAAGCACTGTATTTATGAAAACAAAAATACACCAAGAAAATGAAATACTTGAACATAAAGTTGCATAACTAAAGAGAAGGGATACTTAGCCTTCCACCTGTACAACAAATAAAAGACAGTACAGGTGCACTATTCATCATTAGATTCCTTAGTTAAATAAAAAGTCTGGATCTGAACCTGCATGGTGCAAACCTGAATTCACCTCTACTTTCTGTAAATGCTTCCTACTTTGGCCTAGGTTCACAAGTATTTTCTCAAAACAAGATGAACACAGGGAGAAGAGAGGAAAAGAACAGAAAAAGCAAATGAAGAGGGATGGGCAGGAAGGAGATCAGGTCACAGCTAATATCCAAGTCCAAATGGAGAAAGATGGAACAACTCCATAGCTAAACAAGAATAAATGAGAATTTATGATTAGAGAATTGTTAACTACTATAGGATCCACTGATCTGTTCCTACCCTAGGCCCCAGCTTCAAAGTGAAAACATAACTTATAAAAATGTTCACGACAGAAGGTTAACTATCTTTTTAAGCCTTCATTTTGAAGAAATGTTACTAGACAAAATAGTTGCATTCAGGGCACTAAGACACTCAAACCAGCCACATTGGCAAAGTCTATTTCAAAGCTGCTGAAGGTTTATTATATACAATGCTGATCTAGTCTATTTTTTCATTTGTGCTCACCTTATAGATAGCAGTAGCATACTAGGATTCTACAGGAAATGTATGAAACCACATTAGTTGGAACACAAGCCATATTCCTATTCACTCTTTATACATACTTATTATAACCTACCATAACATAATCAAATATTATGTGTTAGGTAACTATTTGTAAACTATACACCTTTCACTGTCACTAGTATGTCACATCAATGGGATATACACCTCAGAACTACCTTTCAACCAAAATGTATGCAGCATCTAAACTAGAACCAATGCTATACACGCTATTACAAAAATAAAACAATGTTCTTTTTACCATAACCGGAGGTGTAATTAGGGCCCCGACGACCTCTGCCTCTTCCACTATAAGACCTAGAACCTTGTACAGAAGAGACGGTACTTTCATCAGTGGCATATCCTTTCTCTTTTTCAGGCCCTCTGGTGGAAGAAGGTCTGAAACCCATACCAATCTGTCGCAGCTGTTCATCAATCTGCAGGCGTTCCATTCTAAGTTGTTCCACTTCCTACAATCAAAACAAAGAATCTTTTAGTGTGTGCGTGCGTGTCTGTGCACTCATACACCTGTCAGACCATGTGAGACCAAGGGTAATCACCTTTACCCCCTTGACTCATCTTCCCCAGCCCACATCCTATACAGGTTTGATGTGTGTTTTGGCCTAGAGCTAGAACTGTACAATCTATACCAAGGAAACAAACTGTGATCTTTGAAATCATCTTCTCATAAAGCAGAATTGTATTCACAAGGTCATTTCCTGGTCAACTCAAGAAACACTAAAGCTTTTGCTATAAGCAAACAGTATAAGCAATTCTCTTTCAAGTAACTGTTCTATTATAATAACTTATCTTTTATTGTTATCTAATATTACCAAATATTGTCCTTTTTTTTACTTTTGAGTGTTTGTGTGTATGTGCGTATATAAGTTTGTATATGCTAACATGTGCCTGTGGAGATCTAACTATAACTTAAAGTAGCTGATTCTCTCCTACAATGTGAGATAGAGATGTATGTATGTATGTATGTATGTATGTATGTATGTATATATGCATGCTTGGCTGCAAAGACTTTATGCATGGAGCCAGCTCACTGGCCAGCCAGATGCTGTCTCTTAAAATGGTGAGTTAGATATTCAATTAATAGTATTATTAGCAAGCTACTTTACTATCAGATTAGCAACATCTTCATTTATGACTGAGATGGACAAGTCGACTTGGTCATTTAGAAACTTAAGACCTGCAACATGTGAAGGTAACCTTAATCTAAGCAGAGCTAATGGCTGGGAGGGAGACTATAGAAGATAAAAAAGCATCTGTTTACAAGGCCAGGATCAATAAACTCAAAGAAATTGAATGGTGTTATCAAATGTGCTTTCAAAATACTTGAACAACAATGGTATCAGAGAGAGAAGGAAATATACAAGTGGAGAGCAGTTTAGGATTATTACTATGAACAACAAAAACAATGAAGAGAAAAAGAACAAAACAAGATGACGCTTACTGATGGCCACTCCTTTTTCTGTAATCCTTGTGATTTATGTTTCAACAGAAATTAACAGATGGGGGGGGGGGGGCCGGAGAGTAGAGCTCAGAAGCTGATGCCTGTGTTGTTACCCATGCACTTGGCTCTGGTTTGCATCTCCAGCTACTCATCCCTCCCTCAAAATTGATGGAACGCAGTGTGCTAGGGGCAAGGCAGCTGACTCAAGTAATAGCAGGGTTATCAAAGAGGCCCAATTTCACCTTGTGTGCAGATGGCTAAAACTTGAAAACAAAAACAAAATGGCCCTAGTAGAGCACACAGTTATTGTAAATGATGAACTCTTCAAACATGAAGAATGTTTCTTTTTAGGGAGAGACTCAGGCCCTCCCTTCCTCTGCAAAAGTGTAAGGGCAAAGAACATTTTATTCTTAGGTTCTTAACAAAAAAAGGGACAAAACTTAATTTAAAATATTTAATTACCCAAAGCATTACCATACTAAACAAGAACATTCAATATGTGGATAACTTGTTTGTAGTAAGTATACAACATTCACACGGAAAATGCAGCAAGGACGACACATGAAAATACAGAGTGAGCTGTCTCCATACCTTTAAGTAAGCAATGTGATACTCTAGAAGAACTTGCACATTTCCAATACTTTCTTTAGTACCAACAAACACAAATGGAACCATTCCCTGTAAGAAAACACAATGTCCTCCATTTAACACACTAATACAGAATTAAGTTTTTACCTAACACACAGTAATTAATCTGAAATGCAGATATTTTTCCAATGCCTTATTTGTTCTAAAATTTGTATTTCAGTGCTAGTTTTCTGGTTTTTAATCAATGTAATATCCTAAGAATGCAAAGCACTTTAACAAAAAACTCAAACTGGCCATCGTCTTTCAGACTGGAAAAATTATCAAAGTAGGCACAGCTTTAAAAATATTAATAAAAGGAAAAGAGAGGAAAAAAAAAAGAAAAAAAAAACCAAACACGTATTAGACAAGTTCTCCCATAACTCAGATAAGACCTTGAAAAGGATATGATGGCACATGCCTGTAATTTCAGTATTTGAAAGCTAAACAAGGGAATTACTAGTTCAAAATAAAACAATAGTATCTAAAGGGACAGAGAAAGCGGTTTCAGAAAGGACAGAACAGAATAGCAACATGAAATAATGCATGCCAATCAAGAAATGTTCAATGCTTTTAGATTCTACAAAAAGCTCAAGGAGCAATCAAGAATTGCTTCTAGACATCAAATTCTACAGCGTTAATACTCAAAGAGTAAAAAATATCTAAGATGAAGCCTGATAGCTCAGTGGTTACGGGCCTTTTTTTTTTTTTTCTTGTAAAGGACCTGGTTTTGGTTCCCAGCTCCAATACCAGGGCATCCAGAGCCTCATTACCTCCACAAGCACAAGACATGCACATGGTATGCATATATTCGTGCAAGTAGAATACTCATACACAGAAAAAAAGGAAGGAGGACCCAAAAGAAAAAAATTTTTTTAAACTGAAACTTTTATTAAGAGCTGGCTTAAGTACTGACAGACCAAATAAGGAAGCCACACAATCCAAAAAACTGAAAGATTTTAAGTATGTAAAATAATAGTCCAAAGAAACAGAAATTTTCAAAAACAGGAAGAATATCCACAATATTGGAAATTAACTATAGAGCTTACATAAAATAGGCAAATAAACTGCATTAAACACTTACATCTTCTCTAGGTAGTTTATTTTCATTGTCACCTTCAATTCTTACTCGAACCACACCAGATTTATCCACTATTTCTTGAATAACTTTGCCGTTTTTTCCAATTACTTTTCCTTTAGTAAAAGAAAACAAGTAAGTTAAAACTGGTTTGTTATCCATCTTATATACCAACTTAGATGATTTATTACTTTCCTATCAAATGATAACCACCAAGCAAAGATGATTATTTTTACTTTCAATAACCTCACCTAAAGACTGCTAAAGGAGTAGTCTCTTGTCTGAAATTTTCTCTGGCATATGCCTTAAGGCTACTGAGTTCAGAAGACCAATGAAATTCACAAGCAAGAGAATTTCCATGCCTTAACATTTTTAAATATTAGAACCATTTCTAATACTTTAAAATATAAGTCAAATCCATTTCAAACCCCTGCCCACGAAACGTAAGAGAAAGCAATTTTAATTTGCTATTAGCCACATCATTTTGTTCATCTCATTCATATGTATACACACAACCATATTTGTATATTCTTTGTTTTTGTTTTTTTGTTTTTTTTTCGAGACAGGGTTTCTCTGTGTAGCCCTGGCCATCCTGGAACTCACTCTGTAGACCAGGCTGGCCTCAAATTCAGAAATCCACCTGCCTCTGCCTCCCAAGTGCTGGGATTAAAGGCGTGCGCCACCACCGCCCGGCCTGTATATTCTTGTAAGCAAAAATATTATAAGTTTTTTTAAGTACTTCATAGATTTACATAAGTGCTTATAGCATGTATAGCCTCACTGTTTTGCTAGGAATGACATACTGTAAAATGGTCCAAAATTCATACCTTCATACTTGACCTGTTAATCTTTCAAACAGCAGTTATTAAATATACAATACTTAAAAGAAAAACTCCAAAGGTAACATGGAGGAGCTCTTTCCCTATTATAAAGATTAACCCAAAGAATCAATGTTTAACTCAAGTATCTGGTATACTCCTAGCATATAAGTAACAGCAATATCCCTTATTAAGTAGCAGCAGCCTTTTAACAACCAAATCAACATCACAGTTTTGTTTTAAGCCATTTTCAGAAAAGCTAGAATTTTGGTTGAAAGGAGATAAAGTAAGTCTGCCATGTGTGCTTAAAATTTATAAGAACAGTTTCCGTGACATATACATATACAATAGTGACAACAGTAAACTGAGTGGTAGAGCATAAACACACTCTAATAGGATTTTTCAATCTCTTATTCCTCATCGCACACCCCTTCCCCATCAGTAAGCCTCAATTTAAAGAGCAGCAACTGAATCGGTTAAAACAGACATCAGAGTTCACATGACTGGGTCTTCTCAGAGAAGCCCTAGCAGCAGCACATCAAAAGCAACCTTCACAGATTACACAATGAAGCTTGAGCAGCAGCTTCATCCTCCAACCTGCTAAAAATAAGCAAATGTCTTTTCAGAAAACAAATGAGGTTGATGGGACATAAGCCTTTCCCCCAGAATCTTGTTCACTTGCTTCTTGGAACTACACCAGTGGTGAGTTAAGCATCCATCACCCTTCTGGGTCCTTGGCGGGGACCTACCTTCAAGTCTTACTTAGTCCCACCAGAGACCTTCAATATTTTAAATGATCATTTCCACAGTTTAAATTCCAGAGCATATTGACAAACTGAAGCAGACCTGTAGTATAAATTGAGCATTGAGTATAATGTTGAAGGGAGAAAGTAAAGAAGTGATTAAAGGCAGCTTCTTCTAAGAAGTGAATGGTTTTGATCCATTTTCATTCAAATCAGTGTTCAAGAAATACTGTTTTGATTTTGGACAGGTGGGAATGATCAAATACTAGAATGCCTCAAACATAGAAAGCGATTCGTCCTCTCTGGAACTTACTCACCAAGTGGTCCTCATTCCCTCTTATTTTTCAGTTCTCCTTTTCTTTCATTTGGATTAAGAACATATATTTTTCAAAAGACTGCTTAGCCCATGAAATATTTGAGGAAAATATGGTATTACAATACATGACAAGCAACAAAAGCACCAGAGTTTCAGCACTGTGAACTTGCTCCTGCTAATGCATGCTTTCTAAAGAGCACATAAGCAATTCAAATCACAAAGGCCAAACAAGACAGGAGAGTGGACAAAAGATACATAGCATGGATTCCCCTCTTTGCACTGATAACTAGATAAAGAACCAGAACTACAAATATATACAATTTCCTTACTTTTGAAATACTAGGGGTTTTATTCATTATTAATACTACAAACTCTAAAAGATCAAGGTTTATCTTTGTAGAATTAAGCTGGACAAAACTTGATTTCCTTTCCACAAAACCACCATCAAAAACTTTTTTACAAGTTAGAAAGCCTAGTTCAGTTAAATAATGGTCTATAGAATGGCTACCAAAATCTTAGCACTTCACCCATGTGAATAACTGACTTCAAGAGCACAATGAACATTTTCTAAAAGCAGCTCTTGTGGCTGGAGTAGGGTTCAGTCGGAAGACCTACCTAGCATGGGCAAGGCCCTGGTTCAAACCCTAGTACTGGAAGAAGAGGAGAAAGAGAGAAAAGAAGCAGGACAGTAAAATTATGTATGACAGGGCAGCAAGTTGTCTCAGCTCATAAAAACACTTGCCATCCAAGCCTGGCAACCTGAATTTCATTCCCAAAACTCATACAGACGTACAAAGAGAAAACTGCCTCCATAAGATAGTTCTCTCACCTTTACCCAGACAGAGATCTCATGAGTGTGCACAAAATTTAAACATATTTTTAAAAATTCAAAAGTTCTCTTTTCCAACAATAATCTTTAACAAAGTTTTGCATTTTCATGTTTATTAAAATTACATAATATTCAATTTTATTTTCTTAACTCATCACATAAAGCATTATGCTATGAACACCAAAAACTAATTGAGTTTGTATTAACTGGCAATATATCATAGCTACTTAAATGAACCAAACAGTCTTCTACATTCTTCTACATAATAGTAGCAGAATTACAAGAAATTTTTTTTCTGCTATTAACCATTTTTCCTCTGTATGAACTCATCCATGTAGAAGCAAGCCAAAGGTCAACTTTGGGTGTTTTTCTTTATCTGTCCTTGCCTTTTTTATTACTCGTTTCTTTATTGAGTTGAGACAGGCTCTCTCCCTTAACCCAGAATCCATTTATTCCCAGCCTGACTAGCTGGCCACTAAACCAGCAGGATCTGCTTCCCTACTACTCCAAGGTTGCAGATGTACTTGCTACAACAGGCCTTGTATACAACAAAGAGGAACTGAGCTCAGGTTGGAACACAAGCTTTTCACCCACCGAGTCACATATCTGCAGCCCTATACAGCTCCTTTAAGTGTTCGAACAAGTATCTTTAAGAAGTGTTTTAAACCTTTTTCAATTTTATTTTACAGGATATGAGAAATACTACATGGATAGACAGTCAATTACCTTCTAATGGAACCCAATGGGCTCAAAGAAATTCCCTAGGGTCAAAAAACAAGGAGACAAAGGAAACAAAACTACATGACTTGCTAGCAAATTCCACCCTATTATGTTAGCACTTAATTTTGGTGAATCACTAAGTACTTAACATATATCTAAAGCCTTCCTATCTCCATCAAGTGGCACAAAGTAAGACAAAGAGGCACGACACCATTCAGTAGGACAGCACTTGCTACCACATGAGGCCCTGGGAATGGTATGATCATCAGCTTCTCAATGACACAAAAACAAAGACAGAGGGAACATCAACAGCAGCTTCATTAATTAACACAACTAAAAGTTTAACCACTCCAAACTCAAAACTGTCAACTTATACCTGATGAATACGGTAATTATCACTGGAGGTAAACAATGTAAGCTCCCCTCCTGCCATCTTTTCTCCTCCCCAAGACTTTTTCCTTATTCCATGCTTCTGGCACAACCAATTATTTATTCAGTGCCAACTACGTAGAAAGAAGTTGATTACTCTATTATTAGCCCAGATTTATTTTTAGTTCCAGGCTAAACAAAGGAAAAAAATTATCACAGACACTTTAAGACCATCACCACCACAATTTTGATGGACATATAAATGGGGGAAAAAAACCACCATTAAACAGGAAATAGAAAAGTGCCCAAAGGATGAGAAGACTTAAGGAAAGCTTTAACAACAAATCATTACACGAATTATGGATCTAATATTAATGGCACAGAACAAATACATCTTACTTTCTAGGCACGAAGACAAAGTTTTAAGTCAAATAAAATGCTTTCACAAAAAAGAAAAAAACAATACAGACTGTCTAAACAACTCATATTACAATAAGGTAAACATTATAAGACTAGCATCCAATTAAATAAATTAATTTCATTTATAATATTCACATTTAACCTTTATCCAAGTACCTACCAACAAGATTCCTGGGAACTTGAATAAAATCTTCCACAAATTCCAAGAAACCTCTAGCTTTTTTTACAGCCTCAGCACTCTGGATGGAGCAAAGACAAACATAAACTCCTGTTAACACTTTAGAACACCACCAAACCCAAAAAGAATGAAAAGGAGTGAAATTCTCAATTGTAATGCTATGATACAAGGTTCTGCTCAGTCTACTGAAAGCTCAGGTTAGGTTGTTTGTTAGATAACTTATTGAGAAGCACTTGCCTGCCCTGTACAAAAGCCCTGGGCTCTCTAGTCCCAGCACCACAAAACAAAGAAGATTTTAAAAGCTTTAAGCTGGACATGGTAGCACAGCAGCACAGTCCTGCACTCTGAGCTCAGGAGGGAAAAGATCAACTTTTCCTCATGTGAGGCTAGCTTGTTCTAGGCTTTGCTTGTCCAGAGACACATTTTAAAAAATGATCTACTGAAAAGACTATTTCAATTTTATACTGTGGATGATTACTTTCATTTCTTGATCCTTAAACATAGTTCAAAGATAAATCTTCATGAACTATAATGTAAACACCATCATTAGTTTAATAAATTTCTAAGCACATTCTATAGACACAGGACATCTCAAAACTAAATTATAGAAAAAAATATGATGGAACAGACTGCTAATATGCCAAATAAAGTGACCAAAGGCAAGACGCAGACAACTTACCTCTCCGTAGATTCTAAATGTTCCAGTATCTTCATCTAACTCAATGGCAGTAACTCCAGGAACCTTCCTAGCTTGTTGTATGTTACTACCATGCGTTCCTATTGCCAGGCCCATTAAATCTTCTCTCACAACAAATTCTTCATGAAAAGCTGCTGCAAGTTGTTTTGTGCACTGGCAAAAAGAGAGAAGTTAGGATTTTTCTTTTGTAAAACTTAAAAAAAAAAACAAACTGATGTTCACCATCATTCAAAATAATCAAATGGAGGGGAAAATCTCTATCAACCAACTAGTAAATGCATGAACAACATGTGGGCTACTCACACAATGCAATATCAAACTTAAAGAGGAAAGTGGTATAGGTGACATGAATCAAAGCCAAGAACATTAACATTACTGTCCTAAGAGAAATACGTCAGTCCAAAAATACTAACATTAATGACACTGATGGAATCAGTTACCAGTTTTTAAAAAACAAAGTGCTGATAGCTTGCCTAGCATAAGCAAGGTACTTACTGAGATGTATCTCAGTACTTGGGAAAAATTCTTTTTTAATTAAAGCATGCAAAGTGGGCATAGTGACAGGGTAATCATGCATTACATACCAGTCTCAAACAAACAAACAAACAAACAAACAAACAAACGTTTAAAAGTAGTTGTGGGTCTGAAGGGAGGAGGAAATAGGAAGCTGCTGTTCAAGAGTTTCAGTTTTTACTATGACAAGTCCTGGAGATTGACCAAGAATGCTAAATGTTAACGTAATGAACCACACAAAGATAGTAGACTGAGTATATTACATTCGTGTTTAAATTCAAGACAAAACAAAAAACTAAATTAAACAAGATCAGCAGACAATCTCTTACAGAATAAAGGAAACTCATCATAAAATTGAAGAAAAATAATTTCAGTCTATTTAATTCTAGTCACAGAAAACTAATTCTGAAATTATTTCCATGAATTAGATACCAGCAGTTTTCCAATGCAGATGGCTATTTCAAAATGCATTCCTATACTGTTTAGAACATGTAAGTAAGGGCAGTCACAAATCTGAGTTATAAAACTGTCTCAATTTCTCCAAGGTCAAGTGTGTATGCACATTTACACAGCTGGGAACAGTATATCCAAGGGTGGCATCGGACAAGCAGGAGGAAGCAGAGAGCCCAAGGAGAGACAAGGCCAGCCTATGTAAAGTATGCTCTAAGGTAGGAATCTTCAATCCTCTTTCCTCTTACATAACAACTGCTACCATAAACTAAGGTCACATCTGACAGGTGACAGAGTAGTAAAAATCAGATTAAAGGCAGAATAAAGAAAAACAAGTAGTTTTTCTGGGTGTGCCTAGTTACCAATTTCTAAAGCTCTTTGGCACCTATCTTCTATGCTCCCAAAAGAAAGCTAAGCAGCACTTAGCATAATGAAATGCTATGTTTGAAAAAAGTAAAACAGAAAATTAATTTTCTTAAGGACTCTAGGTATTAGCCATAAATACACAGGTGCTAGGTGGCTTTCTGTTACAAGTCATACAGTTTGAGACACAGGAAAGTACATGAGACACAAAAAGCAAACCAACTTACTTCTAAATGCTTAGTGGCCTCTTCATTTCTGGACATAAGCATCAACTTCGTCCGAATACTTCTCAAATGCATGTCACTTAAGATATTTACTCTCTTCACAGTTGCTTCACTGGCCGACTATAAACAAACATGTTAATCACTCAAAAACTTAATTATTTTTCCAAATAATTCCAAAATGAAAATAATTTAAATGAAGCTATCCTTGATTACCTGTGGCTTATTTATTTTCACCCTAGATTCTCTCTCAAAAATAATCTTAGTTTCCTTTCTAATCTCCTAAACTTCCATCTATCTGCTGCTCGGAATGTGTGTTAGCGGGGGATGGGGGGAGATCAAAGATTTTATACATTAAGAATCTCAAGATGGTGCTCGCTTCGGCAGCACATATACTAAAATTGGAACGATACAGAGAAGATTAGCATGGCCCCTGCGCAAGGATGACACGCAAATTCGTGAAGCGTTCCATATTTTTGAGTGTGGATGCCTTCACTATCCAGGGACACCTTTGGCAAAGCAAGAAGCCCACCACGCCCAAGAAAGGCAGCGGCACCCCCAAATAGCGCCCATTTTGGGCAGTGTACTATGCTCTTGGAGGACAATGCATTGGTTATTCCTGGGTCCTGTCTGGTCATGCTGTGGGGGGCTGAGCTGGGAGCTTCAGTGACTCAGGGCTCAGCTCAGTCCCCTTGTCTGTCCTCCACTTTCTTGAATAAAATTATTGAAAAGGAAAAAAAAAAAAAAGAATCTCAAGATGTTATGGAGACCATGAAGTGTCTTATGAGCAAGGCATGGTAGCCACCTTTAATCTCGACACATGGCAGGCTGACACCATAGGACTGCTAACTGTTGGTCATAGCCAGCTGGGAATGGCTTTATCAAAAAGTCAGCCAAAATCAAAAACAAAAAATTTGTTTCTACTTACTAAAGGAGAGAAAATTAACATAAGATTAAAATCAAACAAAAACTATTATTAAAAGTAAATTCATGCCGGGCGGTGGTGGCGCACGCCTTTAATCCCAGCACTTGGGAGGCAGAGGCAGGTGGATTTCTGAGTTCGAGGCCAGCCTGGTCTACAGAGTGAGTTCCAGGACAGCCAGGGCTACACAGAGAAACCCTGTCTCGAAAAACAAAACAAAAAAAAAAAAAAACAAAAAAAAAAAGTAAATTCATTATATACATTATAGTTTAAGAAATACCTAATAATAAAGCTGGTCATTAATTAACTTAAATTATGGTCTTATCTTACCAGTATCATTAGCTGGGTAGTTTCAGGATGATAAAAAATTCTGCACGCTCCTACTGCTTTCTTAAAATCTTTATGGGCATTTTCATTAGCACACCTAGAGAGAAATTAATTTGGATGCAAGACTTCAGTAATGGATTAAATTTAGGAAGAGCATAGTGCAACCTCAGTTTGATATCTCCCATTAGAATTTAAAAGATTTTTTTTAATGCTTACTTTATTATTTCTATTATGTGTCTTTTGTGGTAGTTATACACACTTGAGTGCAAGTGCCAACCAGAGGCATCAGAAGCCCTAGAGTCTGAGGTGCCCAATTTTAGTGCTGAGAATTGAACACTTGTCCTATCAAAGCCATCTCTCAGCCCCTTAGCTACTTCTTTAAGGTTTTGGTTGGTTAACTGAAAAATGAAGTTGTTTTGTAGACTGAAAGATCTCAGCTTATAAACAATTCAATAAAATTACTTACGCTTCTCTTAAATCCTCAGGAACATCCACTGTGCACTTAAAGAAGGTATTTTTTTTGACAGTTTTATTTTGATTGACAGGCCGAAGTCGTTCAAATGTGACTATTTCATTGTAAGTGGCATCACAAGCAGCATATTCAATGACATAAAACTAAAAGATAAAATTCTTTTAAAAGCTCATGTGAACAAAAGTACTGACCCTTTGCATACCTTTGTATTTATCTACATCATTTACATAAACCAGATTATAAATGTTCATAAACATGAACCTTTATAGTCACATAGCCTTGAGGAATACCTCTAGAAAGAATCCTTGGTGTTTGGCAGTAAAAAAACAAAATTGAAATTAATAGTAAAGTGAATGTGTAACAACTGACTAACTATACTGGAGGTGACAGCTACAGTGACCCAGAGTTAAAGTGTTTTCTTGGAAAACAGTCACTTACCTCTCCTTTCATCATCCGAACTTTAGCCAGCCACCATCCACATGGCTCTTGGTCATTTGCTCTTGAATATACCTGAGAAGCAAAAACATTCCTTTATCTATCCACCCCATAAGATTTTGACATTAAAGATGTAAATGTAAAATCTAATTGAACTCAACCAAAATGTTATCATTGAAATGAGCTAGAGAAACGTACTTTAAAAGAAAGTGTAGACAGAGGTTATTACTTAAAAATAAGGCTAAAAGCTTGAATAATAGCTTTTTGGAAATCTATCTTAACAAATAAGTAACTATTTAAATAGTTTTAAATAAATTTAAAGAAATACTTCTTACAAGGCCAACTGTATTAAAATATGTATAACACGTGTCAACACTGTTCATCAAAATTAGGAACTGTTTTGAAGAATTAAAAATATTATTATTTAAGCCGGGCAGTGGTGGCGCACTCCTTTAATCCCAGCACTTGGGAGACAGAAGGAGGAGGATTTCTGAGTTTGAGGCCAGCCTGGTCTACAGAGTGAGATCCAGGACAGCCAGGGCTACAAAGAGGAAACCCTGTCTTGGGGGGGTGGGGGGGGATGATTCAAGTTAACAATCTAGGAACAATTATTTCCAAATCTCTGACATGTTTTTGTGACAACTAGGGAAATCAAGCCACAGATGGTTTCAGTTAGGCTATGCTCTCCTAAGCAGAGACACGGAAAACCATAGTGTTAAATAAACTATCCTCAGCACTTCACCAATGGAGCTGTAGGGTTTGTTGTTGATTTAGAGTGCTCCCCGACCCCTTAAACCAGAGATTTACTACAATAGAATCTTAACAGCAAAACAGTATAGAAACCAGGGCATGGTAATGGGAAACCTGTAATCCCAGTACTAAGGAAACTAAGGCAGGAAGATCTCAAATTCTAGGCCATCTAAAGAGAACAAAAATGATTTAAAACAAATCAAATCAAAATAAAACAAACAAAAAAAACAGCCAGGCATGGTGTCACACACCTTTGGTCACAGCACTCAGAAGGCAGAGGAAGGGAGATTTCTATGAATTTGAGGCCAGCCTAGTCTACTAAGTGAGTACAGGACAGCCAAGTCTATTACACACAGAAAAACTCAGTCCTGAAAAACAAAACAAGACAAAAATCTCTTAAATTTGTCCTCCACACACTTCTAATTGAGAACATTTTGACCTAAGTCATTCCTTTCTTGACTCCTTGATATGGAATTCCAAAAGAAGAAAACACAATGGTAACAGAATTAGATCTAAAAGCCAAAATTAAACTTCTGTCCTCATACAAAAATACTAGAAAATGATACAATTCTGAGAAAGTCACATTTGATGAAGTATAAAGACAAAATTAACAAGGAAACTTTCAGCATCCCTGCAATAATTGAGTATCTCCTACCTCTGCGAACAGTTCTTGTCTACCTGGCACTTGTCACTTGGCACTATTTTCTGAGGTCTCACCACATCCCTCAAGAACTCTACTACAGTATACTATATTAGTTATTTTCTATTGCCCTGACAAAACACCATGACCAAGGCAAGTTATAAAAGAAAGCATTTAATCTGGCAGGAGGGTGTTCAAGGTTCCAGAAGGTTTTTGAGTCCATGACCATCAAGACAGGGAGCATTGTCCTGGAGTAACTGCTGAGAGCTTTCATGTTGAAACAACAATCACAAAGTAGAGAAAAACACTAAGTGGAAATGGTATGGGCTTTTGAAACCCCAAAGCCTACCTACCACCATTGACACACCTCCTTCAATAAGGTAATACCTACTAATCCACCTCAAACTTTTATCAACTTCAGAATAAGCATTCAAATAGATAGTATGGGCCTATGAAAGCCATTCTTATTCAAACTACCATCTATATCTAGGTTACAGTTAAGATTACAGTTATAGATCTTTTAACAAAGTTATGGTGCTTATTTTGGTGGAAGTTAACTATAAAAGAGAGGAGTGATTGCATTTATTTCTTAAGGCTCATAGTACTGACACAAAATTGTAACATAGCTTTGTGTAAAAGCAAAATCGTGAACCCACATGCTGTTTTATTATCTGTGACGATTAATACTGTCAACTTTACAGATCTAGAATCACCTAAAGAACAACCCTCTAGCTGTGTCTTTAACAGAGGTTCTAGAATCGGTTAACTGAGCTGGGGAAACTGACCCTAAATGAGAAGTACTATCTCATAGTCTGCGGTCCCGGACTGAGTAAAAAGGTGAAAGTGAGCTGAGCACCAGTGTTCTCCTCTTCTGACTGGATATAACAGAAACAGCAGCCACAAGTTCCTGCTACCATGTCTTCCCTACCAATATGAACCATACTCTCAAATTCTGGGCCAAAGCAAACACATCTTTTAGGTTGCTTGTTGGGTATTTCAATGAGAAATAATTAGTATACTACCCAGGCTTTATAAACCAGGCAAAAATGAGACTGGAAAAAAAAATCTTTTAAGAATAAAGTGTAAGCCGGGCGGTGGTGGCACACGCCTTTAATCCCAGCACTTGGGAGGCAGAGGCAGGCGGATTTCTGAGTTCGAGGCCAGCCTGGTCTACAGAGTGAGTTCCAGGACAGCCAGGGCTACACAGAGAAACCCTGTCTCGAAAAACCAAAAAAAAAAGAATAAAGTGTAGAAGAATGTTATAACTTTCTTAAAACTTTAAAAATTTATACCCTAAGCCTTCCAGCCTACCCTCTTCAGATCAATGCTTCTTCTCAAAGATTCTGTTTACAGTAGACAGTGATCACAGAGACCCACAACTGGCCAAAGTGCAAATATAAGACTGCAGACTGCTCAGGCCTAAACGAAACATGTAACTGCTCTTTCCAAACGATCATGGTGGAAGAGGGGACAGGAAGAATGTAAGAGCCAGAGACAGTAACTGACTACAATGAAACAGTATCTTCTGGTCATAGCAAAGCAGCTGTACTCATGAACTCACTGCAGTTGTGACCGCTGCACAAAACATGTTCAAGCCCGAGCCAGACAAAAATCTCAAAAAGAATTTGTTGACTAAGCAATCCTGCCCCAGCTATAGATCTATTAACAACTGCTAACTGCTAAGAGAAGGAGAGATGGTTTTCAAAGAACAAGCACTCTTCTGTGGAAGATCATATTATCTATCTGAGAGTATTTGATCCAAAAGCATAAATTAGTCTTAAAGATTTGCTTTTGTTTTTTAATGAGTGGGAAAAAGGATAGTTTGGTAGGTAGGGGACAGCAAATACAATCAAAAATTTTGCAGAAAAACCTCAAAGAACTAAAAAATAAAAATTTAAGTAAATAGTGTACCTTCACTTACCATTGTATTGTGATATTTTCAACTTGGGAAGGGAGAATTGAAAGTACAGGATTTTATACATGGCCCAATACAGTCTCAAAGGAGTACTAGGGATTACATACATGTAACACCATGCCCAGCAACAGCAAGCACATTCATCAATAGTTAATACTGAAGACAGGGAGCAAGTTACAAAACCAGTAGCATAATGTGTTCATCCAGCAGTGGGTAAAGAAGGTAAAAAAACACAATATGAACGATGTGCTAAGTAGCAGGATTTGGGGGTTTTGCCATTTTTTTCTGTAATTTTTCTAGACATTCCTACAGTATTCCACAAAGCAGTTCATAGATACATAATACATAACCAAAGATACTGAAGCACAAACCACTAAAACTAGCTTTAGAAAGTGACTAACACTATATGGTTCTGTGCTAGGTTTCTTCAAAACTTCAAATGCAGTATCACTGAATGTTTTAAGAAACTTGTTTTGAAAAACTTGATCAAGCCCACCAAAGCTAAAAATAGTAGCATTGACACACGAATCTATTTCTGACTTAAGTCTCCAGTAACACTACATCACAGTCACTGCCAATAAATAACAGGAAGGGAGCATGTTTATCCATGAGCTAAAGATGTGCTCACAAGGATATTTATTTACAACAAAAAATTTACAATCATGAAAACTTAAATACACATACCTCTACTTCATCTCCTTCACTAATTTCTTTCTTTATATCAGGTGGTGGTGGTAATCGAACTTCATTAAACGGAACCTGGCGTTCTGGTTGCCAACTAAAGAATTAAAAAAAAGAATTAGTACCTTTATTTTAGCAGACCCTAATAAAAAAAATACTGACTAGTGCTATATACTTTTAAAGTTAGTTTTATCATTCAGAATGTTCCAAAGAGAAAAATAAAGAACCTTAATTCTTTAATTCATTAAGCTGAGAAACACTTTTGTTATGATTCTTGATAAGCTTTATAATTAATACTGATAGTATTACACTCCAAATTATCCTAAGAATAGCAAATACATCATAACCTGCAAAAAAATGGACTAATTTAGCAATAATAATAGCAATAACTAAGGTTCATTCACAACTATCAAATGAAAGTGGTGAGATCAAGAATATGACATCAAAAAGATCCCACAATTTCATAAATTAATAAAATAATAATAACAAAATAATAAAAACTAAGTAACTTCAGTGTACATGCTCACAAAATAAGTACAAATTATTATCAGTTCAGGAGCTGAAGAGATGACTCAGTGGCTAAAGAGCACTTGCTACTACTACTTTTCAGGAGACACACACACACACACACACACACACACACACACACACAAGCACCAATTCCAAATGATACCCTCTTCTGGCCTCTGATGAGACTAGACATGCATATGGTGCAGATATACATGCAGAAAAAAACATTGATACACATAGAATTTTGCCTGGTGGTGGTGGCGCACACCTTTAATCCCAGCACTTGGGAGGCAGACGCAGGCGGATTTCTGAGTTTGAGGCCAGCCTGGTCTACAGAGTGAGTTCCAGGACAGCCAGGGCTGCACACAGAGAAACAATATCTCGAAAAACCAAAAACAAACAAACAAACAAAACACATAGATTTTTAAAGGACATCTTTAAAATTTACAGTTCAGACACAAGAGTTTATGTCCAGATAGAAACCTTGTGCTTAGCATGCTCACAGGGCCAAGGTTCAATCTTAGCATATACACTCTCAAAAAAGTTTCTTAATTTGGCTAGAAAATATGTAATTAGAATCTAGTAAAAGCATAATAATCTTTATAGCAATATAAACTAAATAAACTGCTGTCAGCTGACAAGGTTTTATAGTGAAATATTTTTAAGTTTCCATAGTCATCTTACACTTGGGAGATAGATATCCCCTACATAAAATGGTACTAAGGGAATGCTGAGCAAGGAGACAACTTAAAGTCTACAATTTCGATGCCCTTTCTTTTTTACCATTATTGTCTACATGGCAGCTCACAAAGACAGAAGCTGTCTTAACATCTGTCTCTCCATAAGGCAGCTGTCAGGCACATACATCTCTCTTCAGGCAGTTCAGAGCCATTAACATGTTCAACAGTTCTTTGTCCTTCAAGTTAACAAGTCCTTCTATAACCCTTCCCAACCCAGCCTAGTATACTTGTCTTTCCCACTTTTAACTGCCTAGCCTCTAGGATATAAAGAGAATTATTATCAATTCTTAACATTAAGCAATTAAAGACACCCTAAAACTCACTGAAAAAAAAATGCTGACTGAATCACATCCATACATATTTTGACAAAGGACATAAAAATGTCAGATAAATTGTAGCTACAAAAGCAAGTGAGGGATTATCAAAACTAGACTTGGAAACCATGAGAATCAAATACTTAATTAAAAGCAGAATCATTTTCCTACTGGCATCAGTAAGAACAATCAGCTCTTAAAAGTTAACATCTACCAATAACTTACTTATTTTCAAAAACAACTGTGAGGGAGTCTTCGTGGACATCTTTGATAAATCCCTGCATAAAACAAAAGTTGTATCAGCATTAATGTTATTACATAACTCTTAAAAACCTGTAATAGAGATAAAAACTGTAGAATGATAAAAGAACAGGGTAAAGGAAGACCAGGAGACACAAGTCTATCTCAGCACTAAGGCAGGAGGACTGAGCTAAGTTCTAGGCCAGAGTGGCAATACCAGACAAGACCAGGCTACGCAAGACCCTGTCTTTAGAAGGGCAAAAATAAAGATACCCAGGGCTAGAAATATAGCTAAGTTGGTTGAATACTTGCCTCACATTTCCAAAGCACTCCATCCCCAGCACAATAAAAAACAGTGAGTGGGACAACACCACCAGGAGGATCACAAACTCAAGGGCATTCTTGGCTACATAGCAAGTTGAAAGCCAGCCTGGGCTAAGAGAGACTGAAAGAGGGGGATAGAAAGGACAGACGGACAAACAGACACACACAATTTCCACTTTACCCCCAAACAAACACACACTCTCCACCAACCATAGGGTTTGAAAAAAATTGTTCAGAAGTGAGTTTTGATTTTCATCTCCACCATTTGTTAAAAGCTGTTCTTTAGCCCCCTTGAACTCTGGTTATAACTAAAATTAACACAACAAAAACAACACATAGTCATCCTTGGAGCACAGGCATTAGTTGGATGAAATAAAGTTGTCTGAGAGTTCAGTAATTCAGTAAGAGCTAATGACCCAAACTCTTGTTGCCAGGTAACATCCTAACTCTGTAACTCACATACAATTTTAATCTAATGGAGTTAATTAGTTCTCATGTATCAGAAATTAAAATTTAAGCATTAGTCAACAAAGTACCTAGCACTATAACTATTACATTACAGGCCGGCCAACTCTGGAAAAACATGACATTTGAAAACTAGCATTATCTTTTAGTCCTATTTTTTTCCCCCAGAGTTAAGAATTTCAGAGCCAGAAAGACAGTCCAGCAGGTGAAAGTACCTGCCATGCAAGTATGTTAACCTGAGTTTGATCCTGGGAACCCATAGTGGAAGAGAGAACTGACTCCCAAAAGTTTTGTTACTTCTACACACATGCTGCACTCACATATTCAGTTACTTTCTTCCTCAAATTGGGCTCTAGTTAGTATAATTCCTCAAAATCATAGATTATCAATAAACATAAAATCAATGATCATTTTCTAGACATAAAAGGTAAATTTTAAGAATAAGTGTGTATCTTCATTTGACTAATACCTCAGAAACACAATTAGGGCTATAATCAGTATATAATCAGATAGCTAAGTAGAACAGCCTGGGTTATTATAGACTCCAACCATCCATCCAACCAACCAACCAACCAACCGTCAGTCAACAAAGAAAAAAGCATAATGGATTTTTGGGGGGCAGGAGTATAACATACCACATAATATTTGTTTTTAAGCGAAACAGAACTGCAAATCCCTCTCTAGTCCAGTGCTTCTATACATAATTTAACCCACTGGCCAATTAGTAAGTATTTTTCAACAACTCCAAAACATGCACTCAAGACTAGCCAAACAGACACATGCACTTGGTTGTTTGGGTAAAGCACAACATAAAGAAATCCTTCTATTCACGCTCCCTTAAAATCTAATTAACACTAAAGTGTATGCCAAGACAAACTTGAAAAAGATAAAGACAAAAAGTGTAACTAATGTTAAATAACAAAGCAGTTTAAAAGAGCAATATTTCAATGTCTTACTATCAATTAACTAGCTAAAGACTAAAAATATAAACCAGAAGGAAAACCAAACAGCAAGCTTAGTACAACCCCAGAAAGAATTCCTTGTAATTGAACAGTCAGTCATGCCACATGAAGGAGGGCTAGAAGAATCTTAAGGATTCCATAACTAACAAGGTTTATTATCTAAATTTAGCTGGAGTTTTGGCTAGAGACATTTTATGTCTAAGCCAGTTACTGGGTTGTTCCCATGTTGAGGAATCAGCAAATCAAGTTATTTGTCCTGTTTGATTTTCTCAATTTTTTCTTTTCTGTAGCCAAGATCTTCCCCTGTCATATCTGATCTGTATCATTCTGTTAACATCATGCATTCTTCTCATTCTATTCTCCTTCCTTGTCTTGGAGTAGCCTGCCTTTGCTCCCAGCACCTTCAAGCGTAAGCACTTTGAGGCAGCTAGAAACCTTTTAGAAGAGTTCAGGGTAAAAAATCGCCACTGGCAACTGTGTTCCTTGTTCAAGTTTCGTGGCTTGTTCAGGAACCATGTAGCTCAGTTTGGCTTGCTGAGAAGCCAATTCTCCCCTCCTCCTAATCTTGTATCATGATGTATGTGTATTCTATTCAGGAATCTCCAATTAATTTTTAAAAGTGAGTTCTTGCCCCACGTTGGTTGTCATCTGTACCAGTGAATTAGTTAATCCACTTTGGTTCCCAGCCAGTCTTGAGCTGGATTGTGAATGGAAGACATACACATCAGCTAATTTTGATATGCCTTGACTAGCTCAATGGCTGGACACTTCTAAGCCTCCCCATAGCTAGCACACATGCCCTCCAGTATTCCTGAGTTAGCATCTTTTAAAATCTGTATTTCATCCCGGCTACCGAAGACCCAATCAGGGGAAATGGCCCCTATGGCTACTTTCTGGGAATCATACATGTTGGCAGGCCTTTAAGTCTGTTCTCCTTGCTCCCTGTCATGGCTATTCTGGAACCCCAAGCTCAGAGCTCCACTTGACTCTACACAGGAGTAGTGGGATTAAAGGCATGGGCAACCATGCCTGGCTTTAGAAGAATTTTAAATGAGGGAAAAGAGTGATTTATTTTTAAGCAGTACTGAGACATCTGGCTAATTCTTATGGGAAATGAAGCTGGGTGTGGCAACACAAGGCCTGTAACACCAACACTCAGGACAGAAGGCAGAGCAGGTTCAAAGACAACCAAGAATAAAAAGACCTAGTTTCAAATTAACTAAGGGATGGGAACTGTAGCTCAAAGGTAGAGCACCTGTAATCAATTTTCAGCACCACAACAAATTTGTCTTCGAAAAATTAATAGTTAGGAGACTTAAAAAAAAAATCTTCCAGGTATAAAAACAGCACATGCCTCTTCCCAAAGTTCAAGAGGCTGAATGAAGAGGATAGTAAGTTCAAGGAAAGTCTAGACTCCATAGTGAGTTTGAAGCCAGAATGAACCAAACAGAAAACCTGTCTCAAAAAGGGGGTGAGGTATGGAGAAAATTTTTAATTTTTTAAAAAATTTGGGGGGGGGGGCCAGGAGTCAATTATTCATAATCCCAGTGTAAGGAAGTCATTTCTAATAAAAAATTTCGAGACAAAAAAAATCTACCTAAAAGATGAGCCATGATAATCACAAAGAAAAGAAGGTGGAGTGGGGGGTTAACTTTGAACTAAGAGTTAAATCCCATAAATTTTCCAGCCAATAAGAATATCAGGACAGACCAAACAATGAGAAGGGACCAGATTGAGAGAAAAACCTTAGTTTTAATATATACAACGTTTAAGATGTTACACGTGTTATAATTTCTTCTACCTTTGCTTTTTTCCTGTTTCACTTCATTTTGCGACCCACATTATCAAAATATAGAACTTTGCTTCCGTTTTCAAGTATCTACCCTAAGGAGCTTAGTGGTTCTGATGTGGAAGCATAAACAGCTTGAAGAAAATACACAGTACAGCACAGAAGAGCCATTGAAGATAAGAGTTCTGAAATGATCTGCCAGTCTCTCATTTTAAATAAAGAAACAACTGCAGCAATACAGATCAACACCAACCCAAAGTCTCACTTCCTGGAAGGTTATAAACAGTATTTAAGAAAAAAAAACAACAAAAACAAACAAAAAAAAAAAACAAAAAACCTCTCATTCTTTTAGGAGCTTTTTCATTAAAGAGAAAAAGAGGATTAGCTCTTACAGCAGTACTACCTACCAGTAGAAATGATGAAGACTTTCATAGTTACAGAGAATAATCATCAAAACCCAACTTGTAACAGGAAAGCACAAGGAAAACTTGCTAGGACCACCATGCATTTGAAATCTGTAGCTCTTAAGGTATGAGAATCAGGTATCAGACGTTCAAGGTCAGTTAGGAGTTCAACAGCAACCAGACCCCTCAACAAAAAAATAAAAAGGCTATAGACAGGGATCCTTTTAAAACCATTACCCACTGAATTGGAGGCAGAAAAGAAAGACAGGGAAATTGAGACCTGGAAAGGGGAAGGACCCATCAGCTTGATGGAAGTTCCTGGACAGCTAAGAATTCCAGCCCAATTAACATTTGCTAAGATTGCTTACACATACCAAAGGGCCATGTTGAATGCCTGAATATATGCACTACCACCTTCCTTTTCCAGCCATAAACTTTTACTTCTCTAAGTATCTCACAAAAACTTCACTTAACAGAAAAAGTCTGATCTCCCTTTTGATAATATGATTTCACCTTATCAGACTATAATCCCATCCAAATCAGCTTCAGAGACACCCCAAACCTCTTTACTGAAAGAGAAGAGAAACAGGAGAAGGGATCTTAGCATCAAGCTAACTTCAGAACTACCAAAATTTTGTATGGCTCTTGCTGATACTCTCTCAAAAAAGTCCACACCTACATGTAGGTGTATCTTGTTTCCCTGCACACCTCTGCAATAAAGCCTGTGCTTAAGTCTATGTTAAAATCCTTAACTGAGGTTCCTGCAAGAACTCGTAAGGCTGCAGCAGATGGCAGTACGCAGCACTGTCTCCAGCTCCCAGACCCCACTGCCACTGCTAAAACCCATCTGGAGAATTATATGACCTACGAAAACCCTCAACTGTCAAGTAACCAACTTCAAACTTTTGGTTGTTTAAGACCTCATCAAATGTCTTCCTCTTATGCAATCCACTACAAACTAATGTATACTCCTTACAAAAGAGGAGACAGAAACTAAAACACCATAGTGCGCTCTGCAAACAAACTACCAACTGTATGTAATCAGGAACTAAACAGCTAAAAGCTACAAAACTGAGTTTAGAATGGTAGCCTAG